GAGAGAGAGAGAGAGAGGTAGAGGTTTCTGAAAACAAGCTGACCTGTGAGTGTTGAAAAGGGATCGAAATTCATCCTCCATTTTTCCCACGGCCTTGCTTAAAAGGCTTCTTGCATGATGAAGAGCTGATTCACTGCTCTTGAAGTTTTTCCTCTGACTAAAGAACTGGATCACATCCTGCAGCTGATCGACTGCCCAGAAAAAGCCCTCTTTGTCATCGAGAGATCCTGCCAGAATCTTGGGTTCAACCTATATGCACACATAATCACAGGAAATGTAACAGTCTATAACAAAGAATAAACACACACCGGGTGATGATGCATGGACAAATCTTTAAATCGCAAACAGATCACCTCAATGAAGCACAGGGCAATATAGGCACCGGGCATCCGTACTGACATGTTGCAGCCGATTCCCAAGAGGCATGTTTTTCCTGCTTCTGCCCACGGCCAGACAGTGGGCTAAACCACAGCAAGGCCCCTGCAGCATGCCAATACAGCTTGTGGTGTGCTGATTCTGCCCAAGCCAAGACAGTGTGCTACAGTGCAGCAAGGTACCTTGGTATGCTGCTTTTGGCCAAGACTAGACGGTGCGGTGCTTTTCGGCAAGACGAAATGGTGTGCGGCTTTTGGGCAAGACGAGATCGTGCAATGATTTTGGGTATGACACAACAGTGTGCTGCTTTTGCCCAAGACCAGACAGTGCGCTGCTTTTGGCTGAGACAAGACGGTGTGCTGCTTTTGGGCAAGACAAGATGGTGCGCAACGTTTAGACAAGACAAGACGACGTGCTGCAGCACAGCAACGAGACTTGCTGTGCTGATTTTGCCCAAGGCAAGACAGTGTGCTAGAGTGCAGCAAGGCACCTTGGTATGCTGCTTTCGGCCAAGACAAGGTCGTGCAATGCTTTTGGGCAAGACGAGGTCATGCGATGATTTGGCCAAGACAAGGTCGTGCAATGATTTTGGGAATGACAAAACAGTGTGCTACTTTCGGCCAAGACCAGACAGTGCGCTGCTTTCCGCCAAGACAAGACGGTGCGCTGCTTTCGGCCAAGACAAGACAGTGTGCTGCTTTTGGGCAAGACAAGACGGTGCACTGCTTTTGGGTCAGACAAGATGGTGTGCGGCTTATGGGCAAGACAAGACAGCTTGCTGCAGCACACGGACGGGACTTGCTGTGCTGATTTTGCCCAAGGCGAGACAGTGTGCTGCAGCACAGCAAGGCGCCTTGGTGCGCTGCTTTTGGCCAAGACAAGGCGGTGTGCTGCTTTTGAGCAAGACAAGATCATGCGATGCTTTTGGGCAAGACGAGATCATGCGATGATTTTGAACATGATCAGACAGTGCGCCGCTTTTGGCCGAGACAAGACGGTGTGCAGCGCACTGCTTTTGGGCAAGACAAGATGGTGAGCGGCTTTTGGGCAAGACAAGACGACGTGCTGCAGCACACCAGCGAGACTTCGGGCCTCGCCAGACCACTGTCGAAACGAAAACAGAACGAATGCATCTGCCGCAGAAAGTGGTAAAATGCATCCATTGCTATTCATAGTAACGGATGCGTCGCGCCCTCCTCCGCGGGAAGATGAATTCGTTCATTTTTCGTTTTGACAGTGGTGTGGCGAGGCCCTTTCTGTGCTGATTTCGCCCAAGGCAAGACGTGTGCTGCAGCACAGCAAGGCACTTTGATGAGCAACTTTTGGCTAGGACATTTCCTCAACCTCGCCTTCATTCAGTTTTCAAAATCGAAAACGAATTTTGCAGTTTATTTATTATTATTTAAAAAAAAAAAAAATGCATTTTTTTTCCTTTAAGCACTGCACCTAAGTTCTCCACACTGCACCACACACGTCGGGCCACACGCACAGCGTACATGTACAGTCACAAGCATGGATGTAATGGAACGTGATAGGATGCAATGGGACAGAACGAGACTTGTCACAGGATGTGATGGGAAACGATGAGATGTGATGGGGACAATAGTGGGTAATGGGACGTGACGTGACGAGCGGAGGTGGAGGGGGAGGGAGGAGATGGCCTAAGGGGGGGGGGGGGGAAGGAACACTGCAGGATGGGAATGAATACCTGGCGACAAATATCAAATTTGCCAAGGATGGAATCTGCCGACGTAAGAGTCTGATCAATATTACGGAAAGCTCTCCGAAACGCCAGAGTTCGTATCTGCAGGAAATTGATTACCACAGTCAATCTCACCGGAACAAGAAGGAAACCGCAAATAAATTGAAATAATCAAGGACAAACAAGATACTAGCCAACAGATAGATACACATGAACAAAAAAAAGGGTTCCCAAACAATCGTCCCATTCACCTGGGGAAAGGAAAGACGGGTTGCCACCAAGCCGACGCAGCTAACTCGAACACACATCTAACTTTTTTTTTCTTTTTTTTTACATGTAACTTATATACTGTTAGTAAACAGATCTTAAACCACCAGAACTTGGACCAGCTATCGGCCTCCGAAAAAAAGAAGAGTAGAAACGTTTCTAGTCGGATGAATTTGGGTGCTCCTGTAGTAGCCCGTACGTTTCCTAAAATCGTGGCGCGTTAACGAGCACGACTCTAGGAAGTACTGGTGGTTTAACTTAGATCATGAGTTAAGAGTAAGTTGAGTAACTAATTGATTAATAATTAATAATATTTTTTTAATATGTCGTCATCACAGAGAACTTCCCGGCGAACCGTACGCGCAGAGGGAGAAGAGGACAAGAAACAGGGACAGAGTGCTTCATCGGACTTTCACGGACTCGTCATGAGGTTCCGAACCCTATGGGGTCTGCAAGTCCACTAAGTGATAATCCACCTTTGCGCTTTTACCCCAGTTGCAACAACCACAATCCCACAACTGATAGCCTGATGTGGGGTCCACTAAGTGATAATCCACCTTTGCGGTTTTACCCCAGTCGCAACAATCACAGTCCCACAACTGATAGCCTGATGAGGGCACAAACAACAACTACCTTGGAGGGTACATGCAACGAAAATCAAAGCAGAATATCACCCACGCACACTAGGTGGAGGACTCTAAATACTCTAGCTTCACACACCGTCATTTGATGGATATCCTTCTTCTGCACCAATGATTTGAACACCGCCATCTTCATTCGAATGACTATGACAAGATGGTTTCTTGGTCAAGCGTCCACCTTTTTTCCGGCCCAAAGGTCAGGGGTTCAATTCCTTTGGTTGAACATCAGCATTTCCATCAGAATGACTATGAAGAAATAGCTTCTTGGTGATCTGTCCGCCCCGTGAGTGGCAGGTTGTGAGTTCGATTCCTTTGTGTTGAGTGCCACCGATTCCATCAGAATAACAATGAAGAAATGGCTTCTTGGTTATCCGTCCGCTCCGGGTGAGTGGAAGGTTGCAAGCTCAATTCCCTGGAGTTGAACGCCGCCATCACTGTCAGAAGAACCATGAAGAGATGGCTTCTAAGTATCTACTCTCTGTGACAAACAGCGCAAGTTGGACTAAAACTTTGGGTTAAGCTTCATGCACCCCAGACACCAAGAAAATAGCACCTCCACTTTGTCGCCAAGGACAGTACCGCAACTCAACACCACTACTTATGTCGGAATGAACAGTGAACAGATGTCCACTTCGTGAGCGGAAAGGTTACGAGTTTGACTCCTTTGGTTGGAGCTTCGCCTGAGGTTCCAGTGCACTATGTGTCTAGAGAATGGCCCCACATCTCCTAACTGTATACACCCTCCACAGCCAAAAACAGTTGGTTGGAGCTTTGTCTGAGGTTCTAGTGCACTGTGTCTCGAGAATGGCTCCACAACTCCTAGCTGTATGGACCCTCCACACCAGGGTTGCATACCTGCCGACCGCCGACCGTTTTGCAGCCGACCAGTAGGGTCGACCGGACGGCGGTCTGCTGACCAGTCAGAAAACAGCCATCCACTAATTTTTTTTCAAATCCGAGTTGGGGGCTGTACTGCGCTCGCTTGCTGCGTGCAGCCCAGATCCGCTGATAAACATTTTGGGAGAGGGAGGAAGGGAGGGGGCATGGGGGAGTATGGGAAGTTATTGGAGTGGTGTTGCATACTAGTGAATACTTCACCAAGTATGGGCAGAACCAAAGATCAACCAATATAGGATGAGCATGTATGCAGCGGAAGTCTGAGAAATGGACTGACTCACATAGACTGAACTCATCCAGACATCACTCACACACAAACAATCGGAGATGGTGGGATCTGAAACCAAGCATAGACGATGCTTCAGGCCCCGTACAACCATACACAGATGAAAGGTGAGAGGAGAGACGGTGGAGGTGGGAGGTATAAGCAGCGCCAGATGTCACCGATATAGAATCCAGAAGGTCACCGATATGGTGCTCCAAAATGTCATCGAACAAAGATCAGAATGTCGTGGACAATAAGTCACCAATGTCGGAGGTACAGAGTCCTAATGTAACCGGTGTCCAATCTGTGATGCCGCCGAGTATCAATCCCAACTATCTCCAAGGTCTCGAATCCGGTAAGTATCACAGCCTCTTACCACCGAAGTCCAAACGCTGATCTCTGTCCAACTCGTATCAAAGTCTCCAATCTGAGGAAGAAGAAGAAGAAGAAGAAGTCTGAAGAAGTCTGAAGAAGTCTGAAGAAGAAGAGGAAGAAGATGGAGAGGGGCAGAGGAGGAAGGTGGAGACGGTGAGGCAGGGAGGAGGTGTGTACCTCACTCCCGGATTCGTGCCCGCCTCTTACCTGCAGGTGCAAGGTGGGGCCTTGGAGCTGTCGAAGCTCTGGCGCTGCACAGGTAACCCTCTACCACCTCTACTCACCAGTCAGCACGAAATAGCACTGCTGCGCTTGGAGCTGCGCTAATCCCAAATTAGCGCAGCGCTGCTCCTAGCTGCCGCTGTTCCAAGATGTGGGAATGGCCTCTGGACCGGTCTAAGTACCGTCCGGCGGCCGGTCGGCCTTGATATTGGCCTCCTGCGCCGTGGGCTTAACCGTCAAAATGACCGTTCAGCTCAGACCGGCGGGCGGCAGCCTCAAGAGCGCCGCCAGGCCCAAACGGTCATGTCGTTTCCAGACCTGGTCTGCTAGGCGCTGAGGCGCCAACCGGTGGCCTAACAGAGCCTACCGGGGGAAAAGGCCTGGCTTTTGGCGAGGCCGGCCTGGGTACCCCCCTGAACCGGTATGTCAGGCCTGTGAAGGCCCGTGTGAAGTCGCAGAATGTAACAGGTGGCGTAGAGGGGAGGGGGTTTGTGGGGGGGGGGGAGTGGGCAGGGGTATGAGGGTGTTGGGGCGCGGTTTGGGGGTATTGGGGGGGTGCATGGGGGTCTTGAGGTGGGTATGGGGGTGGGTATGGGGGTGTTGTTGGGGTTGTTGGGGTTATTGGAGGTTATGGACTCCCAGAAAAGAAATATGGGGAATTTTTTTTCCTTTTTTCTTTTTTTTTTTGCACGGTGCCGACACCCTCCACACCCAAAAACAGCATACCCAATTTGTCACCAGGGACAGTACCCTGAATGAGAGCCCCACCATCTCCATGAGAATGACCATGAACAGAAGACTTTTCGGTTAGACCACCAGTACCACAGAGCCTCATTTTCCCAATGCTCTGCTTCGCCCAATTGACGTGAGGGTCCGGTCTGGCGGTGATAGCCATATGCATTGCATTTGCACCAGGCAATATATATATTGTCAGATGATATCAGAGCGCCAAAGCGAAAAACGAAAGAAAACAAGGAAAACAAGAAAAACAAGAAAAACTTGATTCATTTTTAATCTTCTTCCTTGCAACTCCCCCTGTTCAGAACCTCTTGCGTACAAGGCCGCCCATGTGGATGTAGGTTGAGCGGCGGCTGCCCCCACCCCCGTGTGTCATATCGACCCACTTGCACACAGCCAAAAGGCAAAGAGGCAAAGAAAAGAGGAAGGGAACAGCCAAATAATACAGAACAGGGGACAACAAAACAGATCCCACATGACAAGTCCCACATGCAAGCACCGCCCCTGCCCACAGGCCAAACGACAGGACAAGACCAACCACGATGTCAAGCATTCTTGTCTGCAAAAAAATCAAAAAGGATCCAGAGGACAGGTATAAAAAACAATCCTGGATGACGATTCCCACATACAAGCACCGCCCCGCTTTCCAAAAGGCCGACCAACGGGAAACAACCAACCAGGATGCCAAAACAATAAAAAAGCCGGGATGACTGGTCCCACATGAACCACCGCTACCTGCTTAGACCGAATAACGGGACAAAACCAACCGGGATGCAGACAAGATTACCACAACAAAACAAAATACCCCAACAACGGGGAAGAAATCCGAAGAAATACATAAAGAATGGGATGTGTCATTTAGTTTGTTTATGGGATGTGTCATCTAGTTTGTTTGACTAATACGCCTTCCTTCCCTTGTCCTTTCTCTAACGTTTTCTTAAATACCACAACAGATCTACCATATCCATAGTAAAAAAACGGAACCATACAGTAGGCCCGCAAAACGAAATACCCCAGCAACGGGGAAAAAGTAAAGGAAAAGAAACAAGAAAAGGAGGAATGACAAGAACAAATATAAAAATTATTTTCTACCATAACAAAAGTAAAGCCTGCTAGTACAGGCCCGACGCTCGCCGCATCATCTGCAAAAGCAGAGAGCTAGCAACGTCAGAGTATATATTGTCACATGATATCAGAGTGCCAAAGCGAAAAACGAAAGAAAACAAGGAAAACAAGAAAAACTTGATTCATTTTTAATCTTCTGGATTGTCACAAGAATATCAGAGCGCAAAAGCGGAAAAAAAAACGAAAAAGACAGAAAACAAGGAAAAAATGAATTCATTTTTTTATCTTCTTCCTTACAACTCCCCCTGTTCAGAACCTCTTGCGTACAAGGCTGCCCACGTGGATGTAGGTTGAGCGGCGGCTGCCCCCACCCCCGTGTGTCATATCAACCCACTTGCACACAGCCAAAAGGCAAAGAGGTAAAGAAAGAGGAAGGGAACAGGCAAATATAACAAAACAGGAGGAAACAAGCATAAACAAATCCTAGATGACAAGTCCCAGATATAAATTGTCACAGAACTATTGACTAAGAGCATAAGCACTTGAAGTAGAAGAAGAAATAAGATGAGCGAAGAAAATGAAAATGAAAGGACAGACAGGCAAAGAGACAGACAAACCAGAATGACACAAAA